TAACATGACTTGGATCGACTACTGACGAATAGATTTTCATTGTAACTGATTATTACTTCTATTGTTGTCAAACAATTATATATATATATACATATTCGTCTCTTTTTTTTTGTTCTTTTCATCGTTGCTACCTCTTTTCGATGCAATTCAAACCTACATAAATTTATTTTACTCTTCACCTTAAAAGAAAAACAAAATGTGTATCGATCTTCATCTGTTAATATTTGATTATAAAATAGTATATTTAGTTAATTTCATTGTCAATACTACGTTTTTTTTTATTATTAATGAATTTTGAAGAAGAAGAAAAAAAAAGATTCTACAGAATTTATTCCTATTTAGGAATTGTTTTTGGTGCTCGTGATAAATCGATTGGCACTTGTTTTGGATCATTAAATATAAGCCATTTCTCTCGTGGTACACCTTCGAAAGCATCAATAAAACGTTGATCATTAAATGATTCACCTTGAATTGCTCGTATAAATATAGCACGTATACGTTCAGGATATTCACGTGCAACTGTTCCATAAATTTCTGGATCTTTTTCACCACTATCACCAATTAAGACAAAATCACGAATTGTATTTGAGAGAAAAAAATGTAAATAACGTATTTTATGAATAAATGTTGATGTAGAATGAAGAAAATTAAATAAAGATGTTGCTGCCCAACCAAAATGTCTCATATGAAAAGATCCATCAGGAAATCGATTCGTATTAATAAATTCTTGTGTTAATGTATATAATTGATCAGGCATACCAGATAAATAATGAAATGTTAAATCTTTATTTTTTTCGTTCCATTCTCGATATAATTCAGGCATTCCTATATAGAACAAAAAAATTATTCTTATTATCATTAGGTTTATATTTACCAGGTACAGGTTTGAAAGGAGAAATAAATGTATTAGCAAGAAGACGTACTTTATCTAATACTTCAGATATTTTAATAGTATCATCAATATCACTTATAACTGAAATACCTTGACTAGGTTCTATAAGATGTGTAATTCCTGTTAAATTTTTATCATCCTCTCCTGCTGCTTCATAAGTGATTATATTGCCTTTGTTTTGTCGTCTTAATGTTTGTATAACGTCACTTGGTACTTGAATCTTTTCATAAAATTCACCATGTCTATCTGTTTCAATTGTTTGTGATATACTACCGATGTTAAATTCAATATTTTCATTTTTTCGATCAACAACAAAGAATGGTCGAAGTCGATCATGATTAATTGATCCATTTAAATATAATATATCATCTGGATTAATAAGATTACGACCAAGTCGTTGTAGCCAATGACTTGCACCAAATCCAAACCAATCTCTTCTATGATTATTTTGATATCTCCAACCATGTACCATTACATTCCATGTTTTACTATCATTTAATGATTGAAAAGCAACATCAGAAAAAAGAAGCATTGCTTCATCATTTAAATGTCGATTATCAATATTATATTTATCAGCTATTTTTCCTGTTAGTCGATTCCATACACGGTGACTTCGACGTTCATTTCGTACATCTTCACCAACAATAGTAGATACACACAGTAAAGTTATAACAAATACAACCGAATAGACAGTCATGATATAATATAATAACAGTAGAATTCAAATACAAATATATCTGGAATGGTAGAAGAGAAAAAGTAAATACGTAATTCTATCTTCTTCTATGTAAGAGAGAACATACGATATTGGAAACAATAGAAATAAACATCTATATATATCATAGTTCACTTTCGATTTTCTTTCATTCATCCTTCTAAATCAATTTATAAAAGAAATTTTTGTTATGATTTTTTTTAGTTTTATTTTATAACGAAATAAAAATAGCTAACATGAACAAAAAAAAAGAAAGCACGTTGAAGAACGAATGTTAATCATGATTATTTATCGAAGATGCATTGTTATGAATTCATCTTTAGTTTCATATCCATCCCAAACACCTTTCAATTGAGATTTATGATCATTTGATTTATATTGAACTCTCCAGCTTGAAAATGAAGATGAGCGAGGTGATGTTGAAGCTAATGAAGATAAATCAGTGACATCCAAATGACTACCAAAATTCATATGTCTATTTAAAAATAAATATTTTATATATCAACAAAAAGTATTGAAAACTTACTTAATCATAGCAGTAAAATCAGTCATATTTAATCAAATTGTTATAGATGAAGATTTTTAAATAAATGTATTTAGTTAATCTTTAAGTACAGCTTTACCGAGTGATGAAGCAGGTTGCTATTAAAAAGAAAATTATATTAATAAATTTATGAGAGAACAAAATCTTACATTTTTCCAAGTTTTGCGAACGGGTTCAGCAACTCGTTTTGATATGAACATTCAATGAAAATATAATCAACTAAGTGTGATTATTTATTGTATGAATAAGTGAAATAGTTTGTCTTTGCGTTTGCTTATGAATAAATGAAAAGAGAATGGTATGCGTTGTGTTTATATACACATAGAATCACATGCGCTCATTCAAGTCTGAATAGATAAATATAGAAGGAAAAAGATAAAATAAGTCTTATGATTGCACTTTAGATACTTTGTCATGCAGTGAAAGCATGATGTATCACACTAACGGAGTATGATCGATGGAAAATATCGTAACCTAATAGGTTAAATTCTTTTGTCTATTTTTATATTTTTGGTTAATCGGTATAAATTTCTTAGATAGAGGGATCTATTAACTAACTATAATGTCTGGTATTTGTTGTAAATAAACAATTATTAGAATTGCTTTAATAATCACATCAGCTGCTTGTTAGTTTGAAGTGGTCATATGAGGTATTCATGACGTATCATATTTACCTTTTTTCTTTATGTCATCAGTGTTATCATTATTAGTCAAATGACTTAAAAAGATATAGAATCGTGATTATTTTATTATAATGCAAAATAAAATAAAAAATGAAGACTATATAATAAATTTATTAAAGAGAAAAACGGATTCACTATGATTATTTAACGAAGATGCATCATTAAAAATTCTTCTCTTGTGTCATATCCACACCAGACCCCTTTGGAACCCGATGTTGAATTCGATTGATGTTCATTTTCAGAATCAGAATCTGGTGGTGAATTATTCGTATTCATGACGGTGGGTGGATTTCTATTTGAATTGTTTTCTCTATTCAAAAAATAAAATGTATTTATAGTTTATACATAAAAAAAATCTAATTTACTTTAAACAGGAATCCATGTTTAGCGTGATTATTGAAAAAAGAAATAATAAAATCAATCTTTGATAACAGCTTTACCGAGTGATGATGCCGGTTGCTAGAATAAAATAAATTTCTCATTATTAAATATTTATATTAATATAAACTTACATTTTTCCAAGTTTTACGAACAGGTTCAGCAATGCGTTTCGAGCTTAACATTCAAAGAAACATATGATCGAATGAAATAAATCTAAAATAGATTTGCTATTTATATCATCAACATTACAATGTTTTGCATAACATAAAAGAAATACTTCCCAAGTATGTAAATGTGACTCATAAAAATGAGTAGAAGAGTACAAATATAGATAAAACTTTAGCATTTCATCATACAGTCACTGCGTGATATCCGTTTGGTTGACTCAAAACAAATTATTATGTAATTTTTTTGTACTTTTAAATGACTGAGAATATATTGAGAGTAGTAGTATTTTGTATTATTCTTTTCATACAGTAAATTTATTAAATCAATAGTCAATTTTTATCTTTTTGTTGTTGTATTCTCTGAAGAAATGTTTCCCAATCTTCTTCGACAATAGCATCATTGTTATTATTTTTAATAGATAACATTTGCATAACAATTAATAATTGTTCATTATGTACAGTAATTATTATTTCATAAGTTTTTGTTCTTAAACGAAGTGCTAAAATATTATCATCTGGATCATTAGTACGAACAAGATGACGAGCAAATGAACATAGAGATGCTAAATTCGGAATCCAATTTTTTAAAGTTTCACATTCATAAAGAATATGACCATCAATTGTTGTTACAATTACACCGTAAACATCATCACGTATGGATAGACGTTTTAAAGAAGCTTCCATATCTTGACGTCTATTTAAAGAAAATAAATAAATAATCGAATCATAGATAATATTTATCTACTTGATAATAGCATTACGATCAATATTTTCAATACGATAAGGACATGATTGAATAAAAGTTTTTACAGATACATTTGTTGGAGTATTGACAGGTACTGTTCTCATTGGTGATGGTGATTTTGTACTTTTTTGTACTGTTGATGAACGACGACCTGTCATGTTTTTCTATTGAAGTTAATTAACATTTCTTTTATCGATATTCTTAATCAAGAAAAAAA